ATAAATAAATAAATAAATAAATAAATAAATAAATAAATAAATAAATAAATAAATAAATAAAGCGGACTCCCTCCCATGTTTCAGTTCATCGCTCTCCTTTCCACTCACAATTTAACCTCAAAAGTACAAAAACAAACAAACAAAAACAAAACCAAGTCATTGTGCTTTATTGTACAAACAGACTGTATCTCAATGTCTTCCTGCTGTTTTCCTGCTGCCACACCTTCATCCATCTCACTTCTTTTTATTTTCGACGCACAAACACAGAGAAAAAAAAGAGCGTGCAGCAGCTGAGCACTCCTTGGCTGAATAGAGGCTTTCATCTGTATAAAGATGGACAGAGAATGGAGTCAGAGTGACCTGCCAGTACAGCAGGTGTTTTGTTGGCCGGCCGGGTGGCGCTTTGTGCCACAGCTCACCTTCGTACTCCTCCTCCTCCTCCCTGCTCTTTTTTCTTCTCCCCATCCAGGTGTGTGGGCTTCTGTTTACTCTCTCCTCACGGAGTCACTCTGCATATGTGTTCTAGTCTCCAGGGTGAAGACATGGCACAGCTGCTTACTCTCACTGCTCTGTGTGTGTGTGTGTGTGTGTGTTCAGGTGAAAGAAAGCGACAGTAATATTTGAACACCGAGATAACGTCTTTCATCAGAGATTTGCTCAGCTTCCATGTGCTCTGGTTTACCATTAACCAGCAGCCAGGCTCAGGCCCCGCTGATGGTTTTGTCCTGTGAACGTGTGTGTTTGTGTGGCCAACCGATGGAGACGTGACACTGGTTCTTGTCACCAGATGCCAGTCAGCGTGCCAGTTCCTCAGGATGGAGGGACATCTCCACTGGCAAGAGAGAGAAAGAGAGAAAGAGAGAGAGAGAGAGAGAGAGAGAGAGAGAGAGAGAGAGTATGTGAAAAAGGAAAAAAAAACAGAGAGGGAGAAAGAATTCCATTCAGCGGGACATGAATGGACTTCACACAGGACTTTCCAAGAAATGCACACACACACACACACACACACACACACACACACACACACACACACACACACACACACACACACACACACATTCTAACAGGGTCCGCTGGAAATGTGATTTATAGACAAGTAAAGTAAAGGCCCTTTTCAAAGAAACGTGAAGTGCCTGCTGGAATGAAAGATGGCAAAATGTATTCAGGAAATCCTATTAGTCCTCAATAAACAAGGTTTAAGAAGCTGAGGTTTTATATCAAACAGTTCTTTTGTATGTTTAAAACTGCAATATGTATAATAAGTCATGTATCTGGATTAAATTACACCTCGAAGGTAAGAATCTGATTAGTGATCTTTTAAAAAGGATCATGGTAACAATATGAAACTGGCTGAAACTATTTTTTTGCACATCCAGTTTTGTTGTTTTATTTTGTTTTTATGCTAACAAGCATGCAGTTTGTTTGAGACAAAAACATTTTTTGAGTAGTAGCTAAATTGCGTAATTATCTGCCTTCGACACAAGAAAATGGTAAAAAACATAATTTCAGCAAAATAGGGCTCTATTGACTCAAAGCAGAACAGACTAAATCTATAAAACGTGCAAGCTGCAGAGCAAAATGTTTGTAACAAATAAATACAAAGCATAAGAGTCAACAGTTCAGTTAAAATCAGTAACACTCACATGACTGTGTATGAAGATGCTGGCAAGAAGGTATTGAGAGAGAGAAAAACAAAAAAGAAAATGAATTCTTGGGGTAAATGTGATCCGATGGGAGAGAGAAAAACAAATTGTCCAGATCAAACAGTTTGAAATGAACTATAGTCATAATTAACCTCTGCAAACACACTGAAAACCTGGAAAATGATCACTCTGAATTTAAATGTGATATATGTTCTGTGATGTTTATGTATTATTTTTGCTTTACTTTATTTCCTGAATAAACTGGTGAATTAACTCACAAAGAGCATCCCTTCTTATCACTCTGTTGATAAATGACTGAAATTAGACGAGTCGGCTCCGCTTACAGAAAAACAAATCAATGAAATTACCTCAATTTTGGTTTGTTTTCAGCAAGAAGCAAATACAGACAAGTTTTCTTTGTAATCGTGGGTCTGATAGTGCAGTTATAGTTAAAACCTTCACAAAGACACAGCTGCTGAAACAACATAAACAAATTGATGTTTATCTTACAGTTCCTTTTAAATCTTTGCTACAAAAACACTGATATCTGAATCACTGGAGCTTTGAGATTAGTTTTTAACATCTGGTGTATATTCACAACTTGTGTAGGCTGAATAAAACAAGTCTAATATTTTTAACGCCCTCCATGCTTGGTTGCCAGTTCTCATTTCCTTTTTATCCTTGTCTTNAGAGAGAGAGAGAGAGAGAGAGAGAGAGAGAGAGAGAGAGAGAGAGAGAGCCGACAAATCACAGAAATAAGAGCTTTACACTGTCTGCGTGACAGGAAGTCTCACTCAGCACTGTTTGTTTTTCCTACGCAGCTCTGTGTGTGTCTGTGTGTGCGTATGTTTGCTCATACGTGAGAACGTGTCACCGTTTTATTATGTGGAGCTGTAGGAAGGCTGCCGTGTGGATAAATCAATGCTCAGCTAAGCAGGATCAGGCAATAATAATTAAAAATGCTCCTAAAATGTGCATGAGAAAGCAGAGCATGAAAACATTTAGGAATAAAATATGACTTTATTTACCAAAGTCTGCCTTAAAGTTTGTCTTAAAGTTTGTCTTAAAGTTTGTCTTAAAGTTCACATATGAACATTTTACATAGCTCTCTCATGAGTTGTAAAGTAACTAAGTACAAATACTTCTTTACTATACTTAAGTAGAATTTTTGGGTACTGTACTTAAATAATTATTTTTCAACCTACTTTTTACTTCTACTTCTTACGTTTTCACACAGTTATCTGTACTTTCTACTCCTTACATTTAAAAAAAGGCAAGAAGTAGAAAGGCGTTACTTTTATTTCATTTTTTGCTTGTTTTCATCCCAGCTGCTTATTGTAATAAATAAATACTATCCATATAAACTGTGCCTCCTAGATAGAGTGAATTTAATTGTGGTTGAATGAGAAGTATAAATATATAAAACTCTGATACTGTATTAGTTTGTACACAAACAAATCATGTCACACTCCAGCAGGACATACAGTAATCAAAATAAAAACTACTAAAGAAATATTTGTATTTCATGAATTATATTATTGCATTTGGCCGCAGCCCTCAGATAGATTTTAATTTTGGGTAAAAGGTTTGTGCAGCCTTGATATATGTATATAAACTGAAACAGTTAGACTAGTGCATCCTAAATTTAACATCAGTTACTTATTTTAATACAACAGTCATTTCTTTTGGGGAGGTCACCTCCTGATAAATGTCATTACAGAAAATCGAACTGCTCATTTGAAATCAGTACGTTTACTTTTATTACTTAAGTACAAAAAATATCAGATACTTTAAGACTTTTACTCAAGTAATATACCTAAAGGAGACATTAACTTTTACCAAAGTAATTTTTTGGTAAGATGCTTGTACTTTTACTCAAGTATCACTTTGTGGTACTTTATACAACACTGGCTCTCTCAGGTTTCTAAATATGGTCAGATTGTCATGTGGGCTTTAGACATATAGACTAACTGTACATTCAGCTTCAACACAATGAGACAGAACAACAACATAAAAACACTTGATCTGATTAAAAAACAAAGCATTTTCTGAAGTCCTTTATATCATCGACTGCCAGGGTTTTTGTCAAACCTTGAAAATAATGTTAGACATGTTCTGTAAGATCTCATGCAGAGCATGTTAGGAATGACTCTCAGCTACTACCACCACCAGGCTTAAGCTCCATAGTTGTATAATTAATGTTAGTTGACAGTTTTTGCGTTTGCTAAGGTCAAACAGTTGTGATGACATAACAATTAGATTTTAGATCCAGTGATTAGTTTTTAAAAGTTTCATTAAAAATACCGAGTGATTGGTGAGATATTTTGCTAACACAACAGACAAATGAACACACACATGCACACACACATACAGACAGGAAAAAACCTTCCTTGCCTGCCTTTCAGTGACAGGTGATAACTAGCATGCATTTAACATTAATTAATTATCAGCCAGGGTGCTTCCCTCAATCCAAATTATAATCATCTGGTCTTTAAACATCATTTTATTCTATAAACCCGCAAATGGTTAAACCGTTTATTAATCCATGAACGACTCATAATACTGAAGTTTCTACTGAAGCGTCCTAAAGTTGTGCTCATTTTGGGAGAAAAAACCCCAATAGAGATCATCTTATTAAATTTTACTTATCTTTGTTTTTTTTTGTCAGCTGACCCTCCTGGCAAACAAGACCTTGGCCAATCTGACGCTGCCAGCCAGTGAAGCAGTCCACCACATCATGACCTTTGACCCCAACGACAGCAACTTCCTTTATGTCATGACCTCTCACCACGTAAGTGCGCGTCTACTGACGAGCTTTTAATCGCTCCAGATGTTTGCTGCCTCTCTGTAAAAGTTTGTTCCCGTCAGCCTGCTGTTCGGACCACAGGAACCACAATCAGAACACATTCGAAGCAAATCCTCCTCACCTCTGTTTTGGCAAACAAACAGGTTTGTGGTGAAGCTCAAAGTGTCTGAACGCTCCAGAGCTGCGTTTTGGAAACACCTAGTTTCAAAAGCCGTTCTGCTTATGAGGCTGCACCTTCAGTGCTCTGAATCATTATCTGAGATTAGATCATTGTGTTTCCTGCCCCAGAAAATTTTTATACAAATACAGATAAACTAAAATGTGCCTTTTTTGGCTGAAAAAAAATGACTAGAAAAAAATGTGTGAATTGTCTGAATGACCTTGCTGAATCTTAAACTGAAATTCAATCATTAAAGTTCAAACAAGCAGAACAACAAGTAAAAATAGCAAAACAGTAGTAGTAAAAATAGCTGAAAGTGAACATGGGTACCACTGAAGGTAGAAGCTAAAGTTGGAAAACTATAGCTAAAAACCAAATTAGCAACACCTCAGGTAAAAGCTAAAATGTCAAAACAGTAGCTAAAAGCTAAATGGAGCATAAGAAGACAAAAATAGAGCAAGAATGCTGAATTAAGTTTTTGAAGAAACTGAAAAGTCTCACTGTACTTCCATGGGGAAAATTTATAAAGTAAAATTATTTAAAAGGTATTAAAGTTACAAATACTGAAAGTTGTAGCTCACTATTTCTGATCAAGATGAAGGTTTTGATATTGGAATGGCTAAAATAGCACAAAGAATGCAGAATTAAAACAGGAAAACTGTACTGTATTGTGCAAATCTCTATCACATTTGCATTAATCTGGATTGTCTTCCTGTTTTATGGTTTGCTGTCCTGGTTATAGGTTTTATTCACTCCGCAGAAAAGACAAATGCAACTTTCTTTTTTACCTGCCTGTGTGTTGGTTGGTTGGTGCAGAGGGAGCAGAGGGATGCTTCAATTTTATTTTTGCCTCTAGTAAAGAAACAAGAAGTCATTAACTGCGCACAGCATTTGTTTGCACAGCTAACAGATCCAATATTTCTTAGATACCAGCAGCAATCACAAGGGCTGCCTGTAGATTTTTAAAGAATGGTTATTGTCTTTTTTTTTTTTTCAATGAATAGTAAACATGTTGAAGTATAAAAAAAAGTTGTTTATGCAGCCAAATTTTATGATGTGGTCAAGTTTTTGCCATTTTAAAAGTAACTCATCTTTTAGTTTATGAGTTACTTAAAACGGATAAAAATGGCATTAAAAGTGTTGTTTAAAGCTCCTGGTCCAAATCCTTCAAATGACGTAAAACAAAGTAAAAAGAGAGCAAAACAGAGAAACAGGAACATCTGAGGAGCTGAAACCAGCAGACGTTTGGAATTTTATTTTGTTCAGTGACATATTGCATGATTATCAAAATGGTTGTTGAGTAAATTACTGTAATTTAGTTCAGCAGTGGCCAGCACCACCTTATAAAAATATTTTTGCTTTCATCTTGATAACACTGTTTAAAACATTGTGTGTGTGTGTTGTTGTTGTTGTCGGTGTGTGACGGACAGATGCTGAGAGTGAAAGTGGCACAGTGTGACCAGTGGAAGAACTGCAGAGACTGTTTGGGAGCAGGAGACCCCCACTGTGGCTGGTGCACGTTAGAGAACAGGTGAGAGTCCCCCACAGTTTCTGTCTCTTTGTCTTTAAATGTCCTCTGTCTTCTCATTTAGCTCTGTTGGACTCCTTTTAGTCAAATGTTAGTCAAACAATTGATCATATGCCCTGGTGTCATTCCTACCCTGAGTTTCACTTCTCTACTCTTTGTTTTTAAAGTCACGGTTAACACTCTTTATGTGCCTGTGTGCTTGTGTTCATCTGTTAGCAAAATATCTTTTACACCAGAATGGGTTTTACTGAAACTCTCAGAAAATAATCATATGTGCTTCTATCTGATTAACTTTTGGACTTGTAAGAAATGTTGTGATGGATTGTAATCATTTCCTTTGAACAGTTAGAGGATCAAGAAGTCTCTAGTTTTAGTCAGTGTTCGTTTTTAGAACTTACTTCCTTGTTTGCTATGACATCATATCCAGGGTGTGGACATTGTAAGAACAAGTGATGCAGGGCTATTTTGTTGGATCTTTTAGGCAGAATGGTTCAGTCAGGCTGAACCACAAGCGCTGCTGTGATGTGATAAACTTTTATGTCTAAGAATAAACGTTCAAGTCTGAGTACTGGACCAGTTTCCTGTGCCTGATTTGGGTTTTAATTGTACATGTTTCTTTTCAAACTGGTAACTCAATTTTACAATATCCATCTAACCCATAGATTTTTAAAAAATGGCCAGAATTCAGTTATATTTTATAAATATTGAGCTAAAATTTGGTGTGTTCGTACGCATTCAAGCTAAGCTAATGCCTTTGGTATTAACAACTTGGATTATTTAGAATTAGAGCGTAATACAAGCTTAGATGGACACTTCCATCATGCATCTCGGTAAAACATTTTTTTCCCGTTATTTTGGCTTTTGTCACTCTGACTTAGAATCTGTCACCCGGCTGATTGAGTGTTGGCAGAAACACAGTGTGTTTTTGGTCAGGAGGACTGTTGTTGGATCAGTATCGATTTGCCTTTTTTTTTCGTTTGGCCCCTAGACGTGAGAGTAATCTCATTGTTAGGAGGGGCCCCCTGGCTCTCAGACTGTGGGNCAGCGAGGAGTGACTTGGCTGAAGTGGAGCTGTGAGCGAGTGAAAGTACACTGTGATTAATGTGGCGCTGTCAGGACTAGCTCGCTTGGAGAATATGTGTCCTTTCGAACTGTGTTTGTTTGTCTGCATCGTGTATGTGTGTGTGTGTTTCTCTGTGTGTGTGTGTGTGTGTGTGTCTGAGTGACTTGGTTGGTTGCTCGGTGATTAGAGCAGATCAGACATGATAGTAGTGAGTTTTGTGATGAGCTGAGCTGCAGATCTGCAGGCGTGGGCATTGCCAGAGGCCAGTCAGTGCTGGAGTAGAGTGGAAACGATGGCGAGTTTGTGTGTATGTGGTCAGACTGTCATCCGCTTGTCTCCTCTTCTTATTTATCCATGTCTTGTCTCTTTATCCCAGTCCCTTTCCCGCTTCGCTGCGTCTGCTTCAACCCCTCGTCATTCTCCCCATCTTCTGCTTTCTTTTCCCTCTCGTTCTCATTTCTGGCTCTTGTATGGTGAATTTGGGCTTCTATCTCCCGGCCTGCTGCTCCCTCTCCCCAGTTCTCGTCTTCTCCTCCCCCCAGTGCCCTTGTCCCCCCATCTCCATCCCTCTACAAAGGAGCGTTGATTGTGATGATGGTTGTGGGAGTGAGAGAGAGAGAGAGAGAGAGAGAGGGAGCACACTGGTTCTTTTTACGAGAAAATGTCAAAGTGTGTAAGTCTGCGTGTGAGCGTCAGCTTGAGTGTGTGCGTGTTGCTCTCTGGCTCTCGGAGGCCTGGGAGCTGATGTCATGTGTGTTTGTGTGTGTTTGATGCGCTGTTTGGCCGGGCCCGCCGGCCGCTGGGCTGGCTCTGTAGATTCAGGGCCTCGGGGATCAGAGAGGGGTTGAAGTAAAGGGGGTGGGTGGACAACTACAGACAACTGTGAATGAAGTAAAGGAGAGAGAGATTTAAAAAAAAAGGCACCACTAGATCTTACAATCTGTGAAGCCGCCCCGGTCTCTGTGGGGGCCTTTTTGATTTTATGCACGGCTCTGACGTCTCTCAGCATGTCTGCGTGTGAGGAAGAGCATGAAAACATGTCTGTTCACTTGTTGGAGAATGCATTGTTGTCAGAAAGAGAGAGCTCGCTCCTCTGGCAGAGATAAAGCGCGGCCCTTGATCACTCCTTTTCATGCTGGCGACGGCTTAATCTGCCACATGTCACAAGGAAGCACTTAAATATCTTCATTTGAATCAAATTATGCTTGACACGCCATCTTTGCTATTCATAAATGATCATGCTTATCTGCACATTCTTATCTCGCGGGGACTTTCTGCGTGTTTGTGTCAGTGGGAGCACTTTAGAGGCTCATATGTTGTGCTGCTGTTTAACAGCCTCGCCGGATTCCCACCTCATCACACACACGGGTGGGGAAGTGGGGGTGCGATGAGTTTTCGCAGGACATATTTTAGCTGCAGTCGGCTCTTGTTTATTTTAAGGAGCAATTTTTGGAAAGCTTTAACCGTCAGCTGAGCACGTCGAGGCAGGGAAGGAGGCGCGTGTTTGTGTGCGTAAACTGTATTCTTTCTAATATTATTGCATGAGAATTAGTCTTTCGGAGAGACAGGAAGTACTTTGAATTAATTTCTCCACAGTGCAGCATTTGATGAAATCACTGTTTGAATTAGCAGCCAAGATATGAATACATTTTAAGTTTCATTTTTATATACAGACAAGGAAATAGAAATACAGTGATCTGAGTGAGTTGGTGTGTTCGCTTCCTTGTTGTTTCCATGCTTTCGCTGTTGGTTGGTGTTCATGAGAGAGGGCCTGTCTTTTCTTGTTTGTTTCTTTGTTTGTTTTTTTGTGTTTGGGTTTTTTTTAGATGCAAAATGAAATTTCCTGGATGCCTGCATTGAGTTTCCACCAATTAGGAGGTATTCAGCGCTTAAGATAAGATCTAGAAGACTTCACTGGTTAAACCAAATAGATTCGTCCAGACGGAAACAAAGACGACTGTCACAGCACTGATGCAAACAGATTCTGGGTTTTACAGACTCTTTGTATGAAGGCTCCATGGCCGTATGTGGACTTACTGATTTTTTACTTAAATTTTTTTACATTTTAAGTTGATATTTCTTATTGAAAACTGACATTATTGGGTAATTAGTGATTCTAAGTTGGCTGCAGTTGTGAGTTTGTTTTGTTCAAATGAAAAGAAAGGACTAACTCCTGCAAAGCATTTGAAATAAAGGTAGATGGATGCTAATGAGTTATATTTTTGACCTTCTTTTCACTAATTATGTAAATCACATTGTGATACGTTTGCCTTACTCTTACCGAGACGATTGTTGGACGTGCTTCAAACAACACACCCTTTAACGACTAGCTGATTCATACATGGCAACCCCTTCAGACGTTTTAACAGTAAAATGAGCCTCAAAAATCTGTAATTTTTGCAAAACATCTGGGTGCAGGCAGACTGTTGGCTGCAGCAAAATCAGAAGGAAATGAGGACGAAAGAACTTATTTCTGGCAGCAGAGTGGGTTGGATGTGGATATTTAATGTTATTAATTGTTTTTAATGTCCTATAGGCTCTGAAATGTAAAATAAATTTGAAACTGAGTTTTTGAAAAAATCCGTAAAATATGAAAAAATCTGTGAGACTGCCCTATGCGTCCGTACACCTGCAAAATAACAGGACAATCTCAACAACTTGACATGTATACTGATTGACCAATCAGAGCCTTTCTGAGGAGGGCACACAAGCTAAAACAGTCTCCAAATAAATTAGATTTTACAATGAAGCATGGAAACATGTTTTAGTTGTTTTTCTTGCAGCTACTCCCTTCTTTGGGAGTTGCCACAACGTGGGACCTTGTGTTTTGGAATTGTCTTTATTAAACTTTCAATGAAAATAATTAACACAAGGCACACAAACTGCAGCTGAAAATTTTTTTTCATGTTGGGCACAAGTCTTCACAACTGTTCCTGCTCCCTCTCCCTCACATGATGAACAGTTGTCTGTCATGCATACATGGGTGTTAACCAACAACTGGTTCTTTAACTATAGGAAAACTTGTTACAAATCAGCGTGTGGCCAGTGGGTCTCTGCATCCTGTTTTAAGATGTCAGGTTAAGATAAGCAAACTATCAGTACAAGTAACTGTCGCTCTTTTTCAGCCTTTCATCAGTCACAGCAAAACACACACACTGCTAGCTTTATTAAGAAACAAATAAAATATAACAAAGCCTCTACAATCACACGAAAGACTTTGCATTTATTGCCCTTCCAGATTTGCCTGTTAAAAACCTGCACCTTGTTCTTTGCTTTGCTTCATACAGAGGGTCTGAACTCTCGGCTATTGAGAAAGGATTGCTTGCTGGATGTGTGGACTTTGTTGAAGTTTAAAAGAATTGGATCTGATTTTCCCAATCACTAATGTTTGGCCGTGATAGTGCACCAGCTCCACCGTGAAGGAAACTACGCTAAGAAGCTAACCAGAAATTGCGTGCGCTGTAAACAAACATCTCTTACTGAGAAGAGAGAAGTACCGAGCCAAACAAGATGGCTGTACATGACTGCAGGCTTTGCGAGGCAAACTTTATTTAATTTGGAAGCCTTGTCAACACGGACTCAATGGTTTCGTTCACTTCCTCCGCTGCCATTGCTAAACTACAGACAGACTAAAACAACGCAGAAAATCAACGTCATCGTTCACAACTTGTCCTTCTGTTCGCTGATTGGCCCGGTTTCTACCAGAGAAATCCTTGTCAGTAGCCGTGTTTCCATCAATGTTTTTAAATGCATATTTTGAAGTATCACATCAGAAAAGGAGAGATGGAAACACATTTGCCGAATAAGTTCTGATGTAGTGAACATTTACCTCACATGGTCGATCAGCTGTTCCCGCAGTAGAGCAACTGCAGCCGCGACTGACAGCAGGACCCTCCTCCCACTGTCAGCGTCTTCTCAGTTATTCCCGTAACGTGAAGAGAATTACATTTCTTTCTCTACGTCGCCATACAGCAGTAACATTGCCAAAACAAGTTGATGTGACAGAATAATTACAACTTTTCCAATAGTAGCAACATGTTCCTGATAACTTCTCTCCATTAACCTGAGATGTGTGGACCCTGTGAGTTTGCGACTTTTATTTCCTGTTAACTACACACATGCGTCTGACGTAATTGATTCACTTCAAGCCAGTTGATGGAAACACTTTTGTTTCGCATTTCTTCATTTTTTCCTTTTTGCAAAATTTTTAAAACTTGCTCAAAATTCGAATTAAAATTGTGTAGAAGATTTGCATAAAATCACGTCGGAGTCACCAAAACTGTAAGAACATTCGTATTCAAAGACTGAAGTCAATACGAAAACCACCACTGTTAAATAAAATGATTTGTAGAAGGAATAAAAGCACACAACACCAGAATTCTGGAACCGAGTGTGGTTTCCTGTCACCAGAGCTGACAAACCAGGAAGTTGATCAATTTATACAAGGTCTTCAATGCCTGCGTTCGCCCCCCACTGACATATGGCTGAATCACAGGCATTCAGACAAAATTCTCTCCTACTGTTATTATAACGGTTGATTATGTGTTGTTATATTCTTCAGACATGTAACTAATCTATATCAATCAAAACATAATAGATTAAACATTGTCAACATTATAAACAGGAAAACCTAAAATATATAGTGTTGTGTTTTTAACATCAGTATTAACCTGTAATAACTATAAATTTGTTCAATTGGATGGAAACACAGCTAGTGAGAGAAAGCCCAGACGGAGCAGTTAAAGGGGATTAGAATCAAGCAGAACTGCGTAGGAAGGCAAGGGCCAGGCTACTTCCACACGCAACCTGGGCTCAAACTTCTAGCCTTAGAATTACGAGACCCCTGAACACCAAACTACTGTGGCTCCGTGGAAACATCTCAGTTTACGACACAAATATAATTGTTGATCAATGAATAAGTTTAAAGCTCAACACCTTAGAAAAGGAGTTCTGTAAATGTGGAATGCACAAAAAATATCTTACTTGTTGTAGATACTTCCTCGAATGACCTGATTTTGGCTGAATTGACGATCAATCTAATCTGAGAAACAATCAGAGCGGTTAATGTGAATGCTGTTTTATAACATTTAACAACACATTCTCCCATTGTTAAAACAGCCATTTAGTAGACATGAGATGGATTTTTAGCTAAATATATGCAAATTTTTAGCTATTTTTTGCACATTTTAAGGTTAGTTGGCAGTGGCAGCCATCTTGAATTGTTTGACTAAAAAGTTAAGTTGTAGATGTACATTCAGTGATTACTTTCTTTAAGGCTTGCTTAAATTTGTCCTAAGGTTTAAAACATATTTTTATAATGCAAATGAACACGAGCAAAAACCATTATTGCCTGCCTTTCCCTTTCGACAGTGAGCAATAAAAATGTTTGGTTTTTTTAATGTCTGCAGGAGGCTGTACTTTTAGTATAGCTCACATCAACATGAGTTTGAACCAAGAAGATATTTAGAATGATTTCCTGGCAGTACGAATGTCACAGTTGTGCCAAATTATTCAGTAGTTACTGAGAGACTTTTATCCTGTCAGTGGGGTTTTATTAGTAGCCGCACATTGTTTTGGCACGCCTGCCTTGAAACTCAGATATCTTGTTAACAGCTGCACATAATTCCCAGTCGCTCTAAAATAAACAAGTATTTATTTTCAGAGCAGAAAGGAAGTTCAAAACTAAACAAGAATAAATGATTAAACTGATTTTTTTTCTCATATATTTAACTGGACTCTTGAGGCCGTGTTTAGTTTTTATGAGTTATGGGTTTTTTCTTTGCTTAAAGAACGTCGTTTGTATCTTTGTCCTGGTTGCAGACCTCGCGGTCCTTACGGGTCCCTAAGTGCAGGAGGGACTGAGCATTCTGGACGTCTCCTTCCCTCAAACACAAACCCTCACACTCACAGGCAGGCAGGCACATGGCCACACACTTTACTTTCAAAAAACAACTAGCAGAGTGTGAAAGGCAAGTGGGCTGCGCCAAACTCATTATGTGGCGTGTAGAGGATGACAATAAATGGTGCCTCTGTGTGGTTCCTCCTTCCCTCTGAAGTGACTTTGTCCTTCCAGCAGATGAACGGAGCTCCGTGCCAACAGCCAAGTTCATTAGTGAAGCACAAGTCAGAGTGTGAGGCCACCTTGTTTGTTGAATGCCCTTTAACAATCCCTGTGTCCTAAGTATTCATCGTATTCACAGATTCACACACACACGTGCTTTATGTTCGAGCAAACAAACACACATTCATGGATTGACTGTTGGCCCGTGCAGATTAAAACCCACTCGGGTAGTTTTGTTATTCACATATCTGTAATTGGCCCCTGATCTGTGGCGCCCTTTGGGGTGAGTTACCATGGCAAAGCGTGTGACCTAGAGTCAAGTAGTCTCCTGAGTGGATCCAGGCGAACTGACAGCCGGGCTCTGACTGAAGAGACCAGAGCACCTCATAAATCTGCAGGAAGCAGACCGTCAAACCCAACGGTGAGACTTCGTCAAAGTCCTGGAAATTCAATGAAACTGAGAATTTCGAGCCAGAGTTATAGCTAACTAAAACTAACTAAATAACGAAAACTGAAATAAAAAACATTTTAGTTAACTAAAATAAATAAAAACTGTAATAAAATGAAAAAAAAAAACCGATAACTAAAACTGTATAATCGTTTTACAAATCTAACTAAAACTAATTGAAATTATAGATAGAATATCCTTAGTTTTAGTGTTTGTCAATTTATTTTGAGACTTGTGGATTTTTTTTTTCCAAATCGAGCAGTTTCACATTAGCTGTGTGCAGTTTGCGGCACCTCTTGGTCCGTAACATTATAGTCGGCTGCTTAGCATCGCCTGCTAAATGATGACAACAAAAGTTGGGAGAAAGCAGAAACGTCCACTTTGGGATTTCTGTGAGAAATATAAAATCAAGTGTCTTGTATGGAAACTGGTGATAAAACAGGTGGAATACTTCTCAAGACAAAAACTGCATGAATCAAGCTCACACAAGATGGCTAACTATGACTATCTTGACACGCTAGCTTCTCTCAGTAGCTCCCATGAAAAACAAGTAGCAGGTAGTACAGGGTTGGAGACAACTATTGTCACAATCACCGAAGTCCTTAGTTGGCAAAACTGAGTTACACAATTATTTTAGGAAGGTGTCGCTGTAATGGACTGCTTTAACTAGCGACCAAATAGCTGTAGGTTAGTTAACTCACAGGAACATCACAACAAGCTTGGGGATGCATTGGCAAATTCAAACTATAAAAAAATACCTAATACTTGAACTAATAAAAACTAAACTAAAACTAAGCATTACAAATGCAATAATAACTAGAAGCACTTGGAGAATGCAAACCTCCGCCAAGTCCAATTTCCCCCATCCTGTAATAGAGTAAATGCACAAAAGCAGAGATAGAAACAGATTTGCCCAATAAGTTGTGACGTAGCGAACATTTAAGCAGGCAGTATGCAAGGAATTTCTTCTTGGTGGAGTCCAATGTGAAAAAAAAAAGAAGAAAGTCAGACTCGTCACCCAACGTTATTCATCGTGAAACTGGTGTCGGATTAAGCTCCTAAGTTTTCATCAGTCACATTTCACCGTGTAAAACGTCAGTTTTATCCCTTTGTATGAGTTTGTAATGGTTTGACTCTCTTCATAAAGTTCTTCCTGGTACCGTCGCTCTGGAAGTGAGGGGGTCAGCGCGGCCGAAAACATTACCTCGCCCCTGGTCTCATTTAAATAATAAAAATGAACAAACAAACAACCTCCAAGTCCACCGCACCTGTGCGCATCACTCCTCTTCCTCATTCTTCATTGATTTTTTACAAGCCTACGACAATGTGGTGTGTTTGAGGAAATGGGAAAAATGGGTTTCACGTTGCAGTCACGCACTTCCTGGTCAGAAGACGTTCAATGCGCACCAAATGCATAAAAATGCGTACATTATGGCAAGACTTATTCATCATTATATCTGGTTTTAATATTACTTTTATAAAGTTTGAAGTCCGTGCTGTGTAATCCAGTTCAAATGAACACTGAACACTCTCACTGTTTTTTACAGAAGCCCTGTGAAAGCATCACAGCTTTGCCGATCTGAGAGGATTAATAGAAAAAAATTCCTGTATCCGTATCGTGATCCGGAACATCACCAAAATTTAATGGTGTGTTATGTGGGCGAGTTCCCACATGTGGTAAAAATGTCATGACAATCTGTCCACAGGTCCACAGACAGGCCAACCGAGAGACCGACATACGTGACCAAAAACATTACCTCCTTGGCGGAGGTAACTAATAAAAACTAGCAAATCCACTGTAAAAACTAATTAAAACTAACTGAATTAAAAGAAAAAAGTCTAAAACAAAATAAAACTAAACTATAATGAAAAATCCAAAACTATTAAAACCTTGGTTTGAGCAACAAAAGGATGAAATGTTGACCTTAAAGCTCGGCATTCACACATCCGCCGCGGTCAGCCCTTTGGTTTATGTAAGTAGCTGCAACAATGACAAGCAATTATTATATATAATTGTAATGTCAAAAGAAGGTGGGGGTCAGGGAAGTCGTGCAAATGCTCATTACTGCTCATGACTGCTGTGAGTTGTCTCAGTCCACTGTGGAGTCTGATTTTTATTTTTTATTTGTCTAGATGTAGCATCCAGAAGGAATGTGCTCGAGGACTGCTGGCTCGCTCCTGGATCCCTGTGGGTGAAGGCCCCCAGCAGTGTCCTTCCATCACCCTGACGCCCCCGGAGATCAGCATCTCCGCCGACATCAAGGTAACCATTAATTCTCCTCACGCCGCCGTCGCTGTGACCTTTTCAATGAGTCAAACAGACGCGGCTGCTGATCTTTATAGAACTATGGCAGCAATGGGGTCACTGTATTTAAAGTTGATTTCTCAAACGCGCTTTATAATCTGACACCTCTTTCTATAACTGCCCAGCCTATTAATAAAACTGAACTGATAAGATCACGCCACTGCTGTTTGATGCACCGGTCCCCTCGATTCACCCCCACCCACCACCACTGTCTGTAATAATACGAGTGTTTGCTCAGTTCTTCTGTTTGTTTGGCTTTCTGGATTGAGAGGGATTTGCCTTAAAGGGGATATCTCATGCAAAATCCACTTTTAGCTGTTAAATGCATTTTGAATTTAGTCTCTCCATTGCTGCACAGATATCTTTATATTCTGTTTGGGACATTTTTTAAACCCATTCAGTTTTCTTTTGCTTTCTATGATGTTTTTTGAACTATTACATCACAGTATTTGTGACAGAACTCCTAAATAATGTCTGGACTTACCAACTACGATTTGGTGGTCTTCATTCTCCTCCAGCTCTGGGTCAGACTCTGGCTCCAACATGTAAGGCTGGATGGACGAGTCTTCCCTTGTTGACTTCTTTTAATTACTTATCGTTGTGAAACACCTCATTTAGATTTAAAGAGACAGCCTCAAAATGAGTTGATCTGAGATACACCTCAGAGAATGGGTGAAAGAGGGGCTTGTGGAGTTACAATAAGGAGGAATTCAGACCAAAGTATTGCAGTTTCCACTTCATATAGACCCCAACTGAATGATTAAAATGTGAAAAAGAAGGATTTAAAAGCAGGATATGTCTCCTCTAATTCTGTTTCACTGCTCTCATTGCATCTCATTTTAATGAAATTCATTTTATTTTTAGTTCACAACAAGTTCATCTCAGGGCACCATACAATACAAACAAAAAGTCTGTTCAAATCTGATTCCAATCCAATTATTTTACATTACCTCCACATAGTGCATTATAAAATGGCAATTAGTAAAATTGACGAATTTAAGTAGGCCATCGGATTGCGTCAAATCTTAATTTATTTAATCTTTAATACAAGTTTGAGCCTGGCTGTTAAAGAGTTTTGTATGTATGAGGTAAGATTTTAAAATCTATTTGGAATTTGACAGGAAGCCGATTGAGAGAAGCTAAAAATATGAGCCCTACTCTTAACGCTCATCAGAACTCTGGCAGCAGCATTTTGGATTGAGACTTAGAGAGTTTATTTATTTATTTATTTATTTATTTATTTATTTATTTATTTATTTAAGATCCAGATATTAATGTGTTATGTATAGTTTACAAGCAAGTCTTAGTTCTGAAACAAATGTGAGAACTTCTCTGTGATAAGTGACGCACAGCTGCCCAGAAAACAGGAAGCAGCCAGGAGTGAGACCGCTTTTGAACCTTTGAAATGTGAACAGGATGTTTAAAGAACTCCTGCATGGTTTTTTTTCAATACCATCTGTAATTAAAGCTCCTACTTTACTTTGTGTTCTTTCTAATTTGAAAAAGGGAGTACGGGACTGTAGGACTTTAGCCTCAACAGGGTGATTTCCAAGCTGAAACCTAGGTGTACAGGAAATGATCGACTGAAGGATGATGCAACTTTCAAATCCTGTTTTTAGGTCTTTGCTGGATTTTTTTTCCCGTTTTCTTAAAGACGTAACTCTCAGATGCTGTTCTTCTGCTGTGCATGGTTCTTTTAAGCATGACACTTCTTTTGTTCTCCACTTGTCATCGCACAATCTAAAGCTGTTTGATTAGTGTGTGCTGACAATGTGCGTGCTTTGGGCTATTTTCAGCTAGAAAAGACGAATATATTTGTCATGTGTCTTACCACTAAACTTAGTCATCAACAAATGTGTGCATGGGATTTACTGATACTGTCTGTTTTTGTGTGTGTGTGTGGTGGGGGAGGGACATAAAAAGTAGTTTTTTTAAATAAATGAGTGAATTTAATATCCACAGCAGTTCTTATTTACCCTCAGTCATTATGTTTGAGTAAGTTGTTTAATAAGTAAATTCTGTGAATGAAAAGTGATGCATTTACTTTTCTTTACTTATTGTCTGCTAGAAAATCTTTAAAGCAATGTTTTTGCCCACGTCTGTGTGTTTGTCTGCTTCTTAATAAAATATCTCATGAATCCGGTGGATTTTGAGGAAGCACCCAGAAAGCTCACAGCTTTAATAAAATAAAATAAAAAAACAGACAAAGGCTCACACATTTTTTTTATTTTTAAAACACCAAAAGTGTATTTGTGACACTTCAGAATTGCTCACACATTACTTATTTTGAGTTGTCCTCACCTTCTGAGCTTCCACACCTTTTTTTTAAACCAGTATTTTTTATTCACTTGTACAAGATTGAGCAGTTGTTGTGTTAATGAGTGAGTTTCTTTGAGCAGTTCTAAACACAACATCTAATAAAGGTCAGACAATTTCATAGTCAGATGGAGCCTCAAAAACCTGTGCCAGGACTTAGCTGAGCGTAGTTCTCTGGAGGACTTCTTTTCTACAGTGGGGCACTGCATCAACTGTGTCTAGATGCACTTTTTACAAATAAAACTGTTGTCGTGTTTTAATGAAAATGAGTTGTTTTTGCTTGAAATCAGAGTAGAAAGACATCAACACTGCATTTGTTCATTTATTGTCATATTGTCATTGCAATATTAAGCACGGTTATTGCAAATTGCATGTTTTCTTAATATCGTGCAGCCATAATACAATGTGTGCCTTTGAAAATGTTATAATTGTAAGCTTTTGGCTTTTTTATTGTTTTATTTAAGTTGTGAGTTTATGTCTTGGGAGCTTTTGTCAGGGACTCACTGGATCGACAGCTGATTTAATTTCACAGCTAATTCAATTCAAAATGTCTGCCACAGCCATCTAACATCAGGAAACACAAAGTGTCTCAAACTCAAGAGTTCTGTGTGGTAGTAGCTGACCATCATCTTCAACACATACTCTGAGCTTTAGCTTTTTTGACAGTATTGCACAATGTAACATGAAACTACGATTACATTGTAGTTTGACCAAAACGTCTCAAACAGCAACAGTTCTCATCAGTGGAGGATCTCAGTTTATTATACATTCTTTCTAGCAATACTAGTTCTTCATTTGCAATAAAAAAATGTTTTGCAACATTCCTTTGCAAACTTTTGAGCAAAAATCCCGTGTGTCATTTTTTGTTTTTTTGTCAGCTACTTTCTGTTCTGTTAATGAAAAATGCAAGGTCAGCTTTAAGTTTTAGTTCGGCTTTTTAGTGCAGGAAAAACAAAAGGCACGGAAAAGTAAGGTAAGTAGTCCTATTAACGTTCCGACACTGATTTTTAAGCCTCACTTTCCCGTTTTACTGTTTGTTATGATATGATGTCTGGTTTTTCTAAACCACCAGTCTGATTTAATCAGTCCTGGCAGGATAATATATCGCGGTTCAGAAAGGTGTCTGATTGGTTCTGACATGCAAACTGTTGTTTTCAATAATCCCCTTCTAGTCGGTGTAACGGAGAGATAACAATGGCATGATTGGATCAGTGATCTTTGCCACGTGGGATAGATTTGACCTTTAATTACAGATGGTAATTTGATGTCGGCCGGAGACGACAGGTCATTAATTGGTTCATTAATCGTGAATATTTGCTGGTTATGAAGATCGGTCCTCAGTGGGGCTGTAATGGCTTCACCAGCTGCACTGATTCACAGGCAGGAAGCTCGGCTCAAGGTTGTCTCCCCAAACAGGAAGCAGGCAGGAGGTTGGAGCCTTCGCCAGGAAATGATCGATTCTGACGAACAATAGAGTGAATTTTTTTTAAAGGCATGTCAGCACATGCTGCAGTCCACCTCAGCCCCCTACCTGCTGAGGTGCAGAATACCTCCCCCTTCCTCCTCCTACACCCCCAGCCCCCCACCTGTCACCTCACCACCCCGCCTGTTTTTATTTCCTCACATTGGTCTCATTTAGCCAAAAAAATCAGAGGTGTCAGCAAGGTGTTATGTTTCTCATTATACATCTGTCGTACCTCAACACCCGGATTTAAAAGTAGCACGCTGCCATCTGTTTCTTCATTACACAGTAAAGTTCATCTATTTCTCTGCCTGAACTCCTGAGCAATCTTGAAGTAACGCCAACCTCATCCGCCCTCTCAATCACGGCGTGTACAAAAAAATAAATAAATAAAATAAAAACGAAATTGGAATCCGCATTTGTGGGCATGACAAATTAAAAATCAAATTATTGTTTTTTTCTCCCCGACAACGTGAGCAGCTGTTTTTGCGCCTGTGTCTCAGGTTTTTTTTTCTTATTTTTTTGTTTGTCATAGGATGTTGGCATCCTGATAAACGGCAGCGTTCCTGATCTGACTGGCTCACGGGTGGAGTGCGAGTACAGGCCGGGGGTCTCTTCAGCTGCCACCTTACACCTGCACGGTCCCGCTCAGATCCAAACATGCCCCTTACTTCCTCGAGAAAACTACCAACCCATCCCTCCTGGCACAGGTGAGACATGCAGACAGCCTTCTACTTCTCAGACAGGTTACTCCACACAGCACTGCACAGTTAGATGAATGTTTTTGTATTTTTTTTTAGTAGAACAAATGTAATTTCCTCTTTCATCTCTAATAATGCAGCCGATTCAGTAGCAGCAGAGCAGCACTGCTGTCTAGTTTGTCTCATGACAGCGATATCATCTCCAAATGCTCCTGAGCTCCGCCCGCATTCGGCTCGACAAGCTTTGTTTTTCTGCAGATCACATGACTGTTTCGGTGGCGATAAAAGTTAATGGCACACCTGTGGTATCTGGGAGCTTCATCATCTACGACTGCGAGAGGACCGGCGCGATACACCCAAAGACATCGTAAGTCTCACGTTTGACTACATCTTAGAGTTAGTGGCGCTCGGAGAGTTTCCACTGTCACTGTGTTTTATTTTAATACAGATTTACACAAAGAGAAGGCAACAGTGGAAAACCAAAAAATGACATTTTACAAAGTGGAATAGTAGTGTTAGAGATTAAAATTGTTTTGTTTTGTAGCCTTTATGTTTTATATTGTTTCTCTTCTTTACTAAAGGAAATCATTTCTGTCAAATCATGGTTTCCAGTTGGGTTGGCGTCTTAAAATTAAAGCTCTTTTTTATGTTTCAAATGACTGATTGACAGTTTTACCACAGAATGCTTTGAAAGGTTTCTTGATCTGAACCAGTGTCCCATCTGACCTGAGCAGTGTTTTACAGGATAAAGCTGATCATAACAAACCATTCTGTTGTATATGTTGTAAAGATGGATGAAGACACTCTGCTTTTATTCGTTGCTCAAAATTGAATCCCAAATGTAAATATTTTGGGGTGGCACCATATTGTATTTTCAGGTGTGGGGGTTAAACCGTCGATAGGCATTGAAGCACCTCATTTGGATTTAAAGAGACCGCATCTACAGTAAACAAGTTGATCTAAGACCCACCTCAGAAAAGTGGTGAAAGAGGGGCTTGTGGAGTTACAGTAAGGAGGAATTCAGACAAAGCATTGCAGTTCCACTGTATGTAGACCCCAACTGAATGATTTATGTGAAAAGGGATTTAAAGGCAACAGAATAGTTAAAAAGGTGTTAAAAAGATGTTAAAAATAAACACAGGCTGGTATTATTGTGATTATAAAACATGTAAGGCCACACGGAGGCACATGTAATGACTGATGCCTCAGAACAAGAAGGTCCAGGGTTTGAAACTGTCTTGGGCTTTCCTGTGTGGAGTTAGCATGTTCTCCGTATGCATGTGCAGACGTTCTTTAATTACTCAGGTTCTAAACTTTACAAGTTTAATTAATTGGAGACTCTGAATTGTCCCTGAAGGTGTTGTTTGTCTCTGTGTCCCTTGTGACCAGTCCTGGGTGTACCCTGGATAAACACCAGTTCCGTCTGACCCAGAACAAACCCAAGAAGGAATAAAAAGAAAAGAATAAGTAAATGTGAAACGTTTTCTTTAAACAAGCACCACTTTATTAATAACTGCATGTACTTTTGCAAAAGTAGAACATTTGTTTCGGTTTATTTTTGTCTTCCAAGCATTTCCATTCCCCTAAGACCTTCAGGCCCTAACTAGCAGATTTATAATAAGTCTCTTCAAACAAACCTTCTTAAAGGAGACTAAATACCAACAAACTTGCACTTGAAGCCACCTCTAAACAGTAAACTTTAACCAAAATATCAGCCTTTGTCCTTTGTGACATTTTAGATCTGAACACACAGCTGGACAGAGGAGGCAGAGCACAGCTTCTCATCTGTGTTTGTCTCCTGTGTGTCCCCAGTCTCCTCATCAAATGCTTTCTATTTCGGCCACGCTGGGTAAACACAGCCAACATGTCCTCTTGGAGGGCTTATTGTGTGTTTGGCTTGCTCCTGGTTTCTCAGAGCTGGATCAAATGTTGGATTAATATGCTGTAAACGCTAAGCCAAAGGAAATTAGATATGTATGTGTTGGGTTTTTTTTGGGTTTGTTTTTCTTTCCGTGAAGGACTGCGACTTGTATGGCCTGGTCACAAAGAGGGTTTTCTCATATCTGGAGGCAATCCAGCTGGCGTCCAGCTGCATGTTGGAGGATTCGCTTCATCTGATGGGCAGATCTTAGGCTTACAGCACCATCATCACTAGTGTGTGTGTGTGTTTGACAGATTGTCTGAGATCAAAAAGCGTTTCGGTTTCTCTCTTTTGTTCACTTTTTGAAAGCAGTTTCGAGGTGTGAACACAGCGGTTGCAGGTACTTGCGTGCAAGACTGCATCCAATATGTGCACGTGGCCCCGGCTCCTGGTGAGGTCCAGGAGTGTGAAATTAGATGGCGGTTTTGTCGAAGGTGATAATGAGCAAAGTGCCGTTCTCACAGGATGAGCATTAGGATAGAAAGCGCAGAATTGATATATTCTGTGATCTGATTCACTTCAAGGTGTTTATTTTTTATTTTTTATTTTTTATCGTGACTTTGGTGATAGACTTACACCCTCAATCAAAGTGGAGATTTTGTTTCGTCCTTTAGGGGAAAAAAAGGCATACATCAAAGTCTTATTGAACAGTTAGGAGCAAATAACTCTTTTCTTATGGGAATAGCATTTTTCTTCTATTAGTACAAAGATGCTTTTCTGTTTTAAATTGACTGATGCTACATGGGTTTGATGTTTAACTAATGTTTGACTAATGTCATGCTTTGATGCGTTTTTCATCAAACTGTCGTTATTCTTTTGAGAAGAGTTCAGATTAAAATTATTTACTATTAATGAGTCTGTTTTATGAATGAAACAAGCCTTCGTTTTCAAAGACACCCACACATGAAAGAGTTTTTACTAGATTTAGTTATCATCTTAAAAAGACAAATAAATACAGACTCAGTTTTCATGATGTAGGAAAATGGCTGAAGTTTTATTGTAGATATTCTAACAGCTGGTGACTGTGTAACTGTAATGGGTTTTTTATTGCCTGACACCAACCAGAGATTGTAACCAATTTACAAACAAATTACAGAAGAACTGTATTTTCCTTTTATCGCCTGTCCCTGAAAGGCAAAAAGCTGTTACAAAAATGGCTACAGTTCAGTCACTTTTGCAAACGTTGTCCTATAATTTGGTGTCATATCTGAGGCTGATCCTTAACACAAATTTTGAGTGATAATTGTGAAAGATCTCTTTAAAATTTAGCCATTAATTATTAGAAGGACATTTTGTCTGTTGGCAAAACATCAATATAATCAATCCAGTTCAAGATGCTAACACAAAAATGACTACAATTCAGTCAGTTTTACAAATATTAAGCTAAAATTGGACGTGGTGGTAGCTGAGAGTTCACAACAAATAAACTTTATGAGATGGGGGTGAAATCTCACAATATGGCAGATCAGATATAATGCTCTTCTCAAGCTTAGAGGCTACGTTCACACTGCAGGAAAATGCGACCCTCACAGTCTGAACATGACAAATCTGATCTTTTCTAATCCGACTCAGGCTTTTCTTAGAATGTGGTACTAAGTCAAACACATATGGATAATAAAGTTACTGGATCGATACTTTATTTAAAAATAAGATGCTGCACCGGAGAAGCCGACTAGAGGCAGGTTCAAATATCAACCCTGAACTAAACAAGCAGGTCAGATTATTTAATCTGCTCTGTCTGCACAACTTCAGAATCGACATGCTAACATGTAGCATCCATTCTTAGCCTGTAAACAGGGAGCTGAATGTGACGTCAGTGGAGAGTTCACACTGGAGTCCGATAGAGGTCGCATTTAAAATGCAATGTGAAAGTCCATGCACAAAAAATAATCAGAATTAGGACCTACATTGTGAACGTCGCCTAAAGCAGCTCCCAACTCAGACATTTGTCAACCAAAGATGATTTTAATCTAAACTTTGACATGAAAAGTAGCGAGCGACATGCATTCCTTCAAGGAATTCAAGGTCTTTAATTCATTTAAATATTCTGAGTTTCCTCTTCATTATCAAATTTAAAGTGATTCGACAGTTGGTGCAGGCGGCACATGAATTTGTAAAAATAGTTTCACATTTAAAACACAACGAACAGATGATAGGTGTGAATTTTAGCACAGTGGCAGTTTTTTTTATATTTTATTTTTTTCTCAAGTACAGATTCCAGATTGTTCTTTTGTCATAATAATGAATCTTGGCTCTGAGCAATCCAAAAATATTCTGGCCCCTAATTTTATTTTGTTTATATGTATTTATTTTTCCTTTTTGTATCAGTGAGTCCAGCAAATTACAAACAGTGCATCAAATGAACCCACGTGTGATTCAATATGTTTAATAACTGTAATAAAACAGGATAAATATGTTCGGAACGAGCTGAGATCTGAATATTATTTACTGGTTTGTGAGGAACTGTAGGTTGTTTCTCTCTGTTTAAAATGTGAAATGGCTGATCAGAGAATGTGTGTGTCTGAGTGTGTGTTTACACACTTCTCCCTCAACACACAAAAAGTGGTCACCCGGCAAAGTGTTAATGGTAACCAGACGATAGCATTCCAGGCTCGAGAATCAGCCCAGAAGGACAAACATCCAACCTGCACTCTTGTGCTTTTGTCTCAGACTCTTTGTTTTTTTCTTTATATGTCAGGTCATGTCTCTACTTTCTCCTCTCTCTCTTCTGATGTGGTTCTCTCAGTTAACTGCTGCCCTCTTTTATACCGTTTTGTGTCGCTCACCCTACTGAAAGTCATCCTTTTCTCCTGGTTGTATTTCTCTTTGACAGAGATGTGATTGAGGATGTGTGTTTAACCACTGTGTCCACTAAGAGGCCCTGAGAGTGCGAGGCTCTCAGTGTATTTAGTGCAAGTGTGTGTGTGTGTGTGTGTGTGTGTGTGTGTGTGTGTGTGTGTGTG